AAAAATTGCGATCACCAAAAACAGGCTCATTGGCAATCTCCCTACTCATTTCTGCTACCTGCTAACATTCGTGAGTCCTCTACGACTGCGTCTTTTAAAACCTCGCTTTATAACTACCTGCTTCATGAGAGCAACTGTAATTATAATCTTGTCTAGCACTTACTTCTGTATCTAATTTTCTGTAACGTACTTTTTAAGTTAAATTTAGGGTTTACTATAAGTATTTTAAGTATATTTCTATACTATTTATACTAACGAGGCAGAGACCTCAGTATAATAAACACTGTTTCTTCTTCTTTTTCTTCCTTATCCTCATGCCTCATCCAATGAGATGTGCCAGTTCACGGTCTTGTATACAGGTCTGGGCACTTCCCTATCCTCACCACGTTGTAGCTCGTAACCCTAATGCGTCCGGTTTTGCCCGCAATCGCTAATGTCGAAGAAACCTCCTGACACAGCGCATGCGCATCCGTAAATTCACTGCAACGTTTTATCTCCGATTAAAAAGGAAAGTAATTGACCACAAAAAAACCGATGCGATGCCAATTAAATCAAATTTTGATAAGTTAGACAAATAAAGAATTGATGATTAAAAAAACTAAAGTTAAATGCACCAATTCACCTAAAAGTCATGAAAATTAAAACAGTCAATTTTTGCTTGTATCATAACCTTTTTACTGAATATATTTGTAACTCCTGTGAAATTTTCAAATGCAAATTCCTATGATTGTGATTCAAGCAGGCACGATGCACTTTCTGGTTATTGTTACTTTTTTCAATTGCAATCCCGGTATATTACACATTACAACGAGCAAAGCAGGTTACGTATTCAAGAAAGAGATAACTGCGCACGCGTAGTGCTAGCACGTGATAAGCTCTTTCAACACTAACGCCTCTTGCGGTAGTGGCCACCTTATCGTCACGCGTTTTTCGGCTAAGTATCCAGACCTGCATACAAAATCGTGTGCCAGTTGTATGCCTGTATTCGGAGATAACCCGGCCAGCGCGTAGCTGTCTCACTCCCCGTTGTTATAAGGTTATCCTTTTCGAATTGAACTGCGCATGTGGTGTACAAGCCCTGCGAAAATGTTGCAACGCCGCATATTAGTGCCAGCCACGTCAGTACTAAAGTACGAATTTGTTAAGAATGTCTGTACTGCTGTGTCCTTGCTATCTCTTTCTACTCGCCCCCACCACTGCCATACGGATTCCAGTATGGTTCTTTCCTTCCTTTCCTTATGGCTGCTCCACCAATGAGAAGATGTGCCAGATTCCAGTATGGTTATAGTTCAGTGGGTATAGGCCATAGATATAACAAAAAACATAGATGTAGCATAACCCTGCGGGGGGGAAGCCGTCCAGGGAGGGGTGCCGAGGTACACTGAGCCTACTTGTGATTGATTACTATTGGAAGCAAGCGCAGTGATGTAAAAGTGCTACGTACTCTGTCGTTTCGTTATACGCACAAAGAGAACCAATCATGTTAAGCCATGGTAAGGGAGGGGTCAGCTTGAATTTGATTGGTTATGCAGCGAACTCCCCCCCCCTCATTTTCTCTCACGCCCCTTGCCTAAAATATCAGTTTATGCTACATCTATGTTTTTTTTTATATCTATGGTATAGGCCATCGACATACATACATATAGTACTGACTAGTTACTGGCACATCTCCTGTTTGGAGGAGTCAGCCATAAGGAAAGGAAGGAAGGACATATAGTACTGGACTGCTCACTGTAGCTGCAGAAAGTGTAATCGGGAATACAAAGAGAGAGCAAATCGTAAGGACCGTTCTGTCTTTTTCTATAATTTGTCTATTGGTCGAAAGGTTTCTGGATGGAAGGGGTTCAGGACTGTACTATGCAAAATAAGAACCATGTGAAAGATTACTCCGCACATCTAGAATGTATGTCCGTTGTTACAGTCGAATCATGGAGACAAAAGCCTCCGTGAGTCAAATCTCAATTGTCGTGATTACTTTATTCTAGTTGAGTTTATGAAAATTCGATATTACTAAAAAAATGGTGATTCACTATGTTAAGTGTGGGCTACCGCGAGACCTGTATTTTGAACCCAATACGATAAGCTTTCACAACTAAGTAAAATGGAAAAATAACCTTAATTTTTATGATTATCATAAGATTAAATCAATTCTTAAACTTATAAAATATATAAATAAAGTTCATCATGAAACATATGTACATTTTACTGCGCGGGGTTCCCTTATTTCTGATTCCGCTCCTGCCCAAGAGAAGGATATCACGGTCCTTACGATTTGCTCTCTCTTTTTATTCCCGATTACACTTTCTGCAGTCCAATACTATATGTCGATGGTATGGCCTATACCATCGACATATAGTATGGACTACGCATAGACATAGGAAAACGTGGTCGACTGGAAGAAAGAGATAGCGACTGGTGGTGGCTAAGCCTTGTCTCTTTCTAATCAGTAGCGTAGTGAGATTTTTGAGGACCACGGAAATAATAAGTTTTTGCATCATAATGTTATAATTAAATGCTAAATATTCATGCACGATAATGTGTAATCTTAACGTAGTACATAACCTAATCGAATCTAATATTTAAATAATACATTATTACTCACCTATGGATTGACAAACCTTGCGATTTGTCTGATCTTTTCTTGCAGATAACAGATGTATACACCATACCGAAGAATATTTACAATAAGAACATTTTTTGACGTAACGTACTCGTATTGCAAGCGTCATTATATTACGCCACGCAATTCATAAGCAAAGGGAACAGCATCTAACAGTACGTTCCTGACATCCTCTGAGCGATAAAAAAGTAGCCAATAGGAACATTAGAAAAGGAGAGATATTGGCCGCCACCTCTCTCCTTCTTTGTCTATTCAAGCCGAAACTTTTTCAATGAGCCCAAAGTACAGATCTCGTAGTCCATACTATATGTCGATGGTATAGGCAAAGAGAACAATGTCTGGGTGTGTTCCGAAATGTACCGACAGTACTGTAAAAGTAATTACATCTCTCCAGGCTAATTCCCCATGAAGCGCACTTTGAATATCGGATAACTTGCACCAGCCAATCACACATTGCCGTTAGTTTTTCAGTAGATAATAGAAAGAAATGGCAACTTCGTGATTGGCTGTGAGAGATACGCGGTACGTAAAGTACGCTCCATTTGACAGCACCGTCAAAAGATTGAAATAAGAAATAGTTTAAAAAATTAAAGTTGGCTGACTAATTTCACACAGGTGCCTGATACTGCTAGAGAACCTTTGCGACACAGACAAAATAATGGCACAACTACATCACTTATCCTGCGGAAGGGATTATCCTGAGTATCTAGGTTAACCATTCTGCTGCTTACTGGTACAACGCTGGTACATGTTCCCCATTGGGGATACAGCCAAAAAGAAAAGGAAAGGAAGGAAGGAACTATCTTGCTTTTATTTTTCATGATTGTAGATGCATTGATAAGTCGCGTGGCATGTTCCAGCGTCTGCTTTGTTGACATTTTCTGGTAGGTAATCTGTCAGTCTTACGTGGCAATTCTTTATCAAGTCTTCATGTTAACCGAGTTGGTTACAGATCTCGTACGGTGACAAGAGGTAACTATAATTATTAGAAAATGTTCTCGTTATTATTTCTGATTATAATATTATAGAGAAATTCATATAACAAGAGAATCATATTTTGATGACTATGATTAAAGCTTTTTACATTAATATGAGTTACTTATATTTATTTATGACGTATATAGCTCGAAAAACTGCGACGTCGTAATACATCACAGTATAAAATTAAAGAAATAGTGTTCTATTTAATTAATTTGCTGTTAGTTTTTGTTGTGTATTAACTTTTTAATTTTATATCCTTAATTTCAAAATTATTGATAATAATAATAATGTGTGTTTATATTTGTGCATTAATGTAAAGATTATTTTATTTGTCATGTTACATACAAACTTGTTATTTGGAAACTTACTTAAACTGCCTTTTTATTACATTAATATTTTGTTAACAGATACATGTATCGTTTATATTCAGTTGAATGTAAATGTATACAATACTCTATGTGAGTTAAGTATTTAATGCTATTTACTTAGATTAAGATAATAGCATTTTAATTTATATATTTATTTCGTATAATTTGAATGAACTGAATTTCATTGATGCATTTTGTAATTTACTACAAATAGAAATTATTGTCATTAATGATTATACTTCTGTTATATAGAATTTAGACCAGATTAACTAATACTATGTGAAGTTGCAAAAGAACAAATAAATATAAGTAGTTAATGACATTTAATCTTATTTTATGAGGACAGTTGATGTAATATACGTATATCATAGAATTATCCAATATTTTCTTTTTATGATCTCATGAATGATATTTTGCATTTACAGATTTTGTACACTGGATGAAAAGTAATGCATGAAAAGAGAAAAAGACTGGGTACTATGCGTGCTTTAATTCTTGTTGGAGGCTATGGAACGAGGTTAAGGCCTTTGACCCTAAGCCGTCCAAAACCTCTTGTCGAATTTGCCAATAAGCCGATGCTTCTTCATCAAATAGAAGCCCTGGTATGTATTTTAATAGTTTTGAAAATATGGTAATGCTTTGATGGCTGCACTCACATGGAATATGTGATCTAAATTTATATCTTCATTATTATCACATTACTACAAGTTATGTAATATGTTCTATTTATACCACATATAGAAATTTGTATATACCCTTAAATTTTATCAAATTGTAGAATTTCCTGAGATTTACTCATTTACAACTGTTCAATATTTCAGTCAGCATTAATCTATTAGATCAATAAATATCAGTCTTAAAAAATTATAGAAGAGAAACACTATCAGAATTTTCATTGTATACTTAGATTTTAAGACGTTTTTATTTTTCCTGTAATAACTAAATAGTAATATCATATAAACATTGTTATTTTTAGGTAGACGCAAATGTGACAGAAGTAATTCTGGCAGTTTCCTACCGAGCTGAGCAAATGGAAAAAGAATTGGGAGAAGAGGCAAAAAAATTGGGTGTTAGTTTAATATTTTCTCATGAAACTGAACCATTAGGCACTGCAGGACCACTTGCACTTGTTCGAGAAACTTTATCTTCCGGAGATGAACCCTTTTTTGTTTTGAATTCCGATATCATTTGCGAATTTCCTTTCAAACAGCTTGTTCAATTTCATAAGAATCATGGAAAAGAAGGCACTATTATCGTCACTAAAGTTGAGGAACCATCTAAATATGGCGTCGTGGTTTATGGCGATGGCGGACGGATTGAAAGTTTTATTGAAAAGCCTCAGGAATTCGTTTCCAACAAGATTAATGCAGGTAAATCGTCTTTATTTAAGACTTTCAATTAATATAAATATTGGATCAAACAATGTTCGAACAAGGCATCAACATGGACCATGTGTAATATCCTAAAAAATTAAATTTGGAAGTTTCCTCGTTTTACAGTTTGTATTATACGATACGTTATAGCGATTTTACAGTGAAGATAATTTTTTACAGATTTGAGATTCTAAAATATTTAATATAATAAAAAAATTCTTAATAATTGTGATTTTAATAGAACAAGCATCAAACTCAAATTCCACAATACTTACAGATGTTATGAACATGTGATATGTTAAGAAAGAAGGAATACATTTATCTATCAGTTCATGAATAAAATTTTGTTACCAATCAAGAACAAGATATCCTTAGCAAGTTACATGTGGCTTTCCATAAAGTCACTGAAATATATGCTAAATGAAGCGGATGCATATTTTAACATAAATTTGATCTAGAATCATATGTGGTTTTCTAGAGATGTCATTGTTTTCAATCTGTTAAAAACACATTTTACTCGTGAACCGCTTATACTTCATATTAGAAACAAAATCAACTTTAAAACCAGAGTCATTCTCAGAAAGAGCCAGGTTTTGTTTCTTTACCATGAAAACGTCTGCTTAATTTTTGAAGTTACTAAAGAGTGTTGAATGTGATTTATGTTACAAAATATTTTAAATATGGATAAAAAGAATGGACTTGTAGTGTGTTAAAATACGCGTAAAATGGAATTTACAATTCTAATTGCAAACTTAATTGGGATATTCTTTGCCTATTATCTAATGTTATTCTAGGAATGTATATTTTTAACCCAAGCGTACTAACAAGGATAGAGCTAAGGCCTATGAGCATAGAAAAAGAAGTATTTCCTGATATGGCTCAAGATGGGCAATTATACGCTATGGAATTATCTGGGTTTTGGATGGATGTAGGGCAACCGAAAGATTTTCTTACTGGTAAGCATATCTTTATCATATTAAAGATTAGACTTCTATAATAACTGTTACTAATAGTAACCATATCCTTATTCGTGCATCTGCTCCTAGTGAGGAATTTAAAACGAGCAGAGTCTGATGCTTTACGATATTTTTTTTGCACTAAAAATTACGTATGAAAAATGCAGCAGTCGAAAAAATTGTGAAAGTAATTTTGTATTTAACATTAAATAGGTACTTATAAAATGTTTGGTATTATTTCTAACTAGGTATGTGCTTGTACCTGACTTCTTTGCGGCAGAAATCACCTGAGAAGTTATATTCGGGTGTGGGCGTAGTCGGGAACGTTTTAGTAGACCCAACAGCAAAAATTGGTAAAGGATGTAGAATTGGACCAAATGTTACAGTTGGTCCTGGTGTTACGCTAGCTGATGGATGTTGCGTAAAAAAGTGTACTCTTCTAAGAGCAGCTACGGTTAAAGAACATGCGTGGCTTGATGGGTAAATATCAATAAGAAAAATATATTTGTATATTATTTAAAATTTAAAGTTCGTAAGACTAATAATCACGTATAATTTTACCACACTGACGTAATATATTTAATTCTAATATGCACAAATTGCAACATTTTATTATCTAGTAATTAACTTTTAAAAATTAGGTGTATTGTTGGCTGGCGAAGTGTTGTGGGTAGATGGGTACGGATGGAAGGCACAACAGTTCTCGGCGAAGATGTGATAGTCAAGGATGAACTTTACATAAACGGAGGACAAGTTCTCCCGCACAAAAGCATCGCTGCCTCTGTTCCCGAACCACAAATCATCATGTGATTAATCATATGATTATACATAAACTTTTTGATAAAAGAAAACCTAATTTTCTCAACAAGACAATAGGTAAAAATAATTTCTATAATTTGGTCCCACACAACATGTAACATTTGAGAGATAGTTTAACAATAATGACTTCATCACGTTTTAGAAATTTCTTAAATATATCATTTTGTGTTGTATGGATACAAAATGTATACAAAATTATAATACAGTTCAATCTGGTCATAAGCCTCTCGCTGGGGCTGTACGAGAAGTTTTCTTTAGAATTACAGCTTCCCCACCACTGTGACTATAATCGCATTGTTCGGAACTACTCAAGTTTCAAGCGAGCTTTATTGCCTAGAGTACCTAAGAGTATTACCTAAGAGTACACGTGTTTGAACTTACATGTATAATTTTTCACTGGAATTTCACTTGATGTTTATAACGAGATATGTGTCCCATAACTTTGAGGGACTTTGGTATGAAATAAGTTCCAAGCTCGAGGGAAAAAGAAAGAAGCGAAATGTGCTTATAACCAAATTGTACATTTATAATATATTTTTAATTAAAATATAATATTTACGAAATTATTTTGTTTTAATAATACAAATTAACAATGATCATTTTTAGTGATAGGCTATGTGCTACAGTAATGGCCATGCACTACTGAACAATTAAACACAACCAAACTGCGATTTTAAGACCATGCAGCGTCACGATGGTAATTCAACTCTCCAATACTTCTGTAAATTACATGCCTGTATACAATTTTCGTTTATATTTGAATTTTAATTGATATTTTTGTAAAACATTTTGCACTTATTACAATAATATGTGTAACATAAGGCTATGATTTTAACTATCTTTATATCAGCAATTTTCGTCATCTACTATATGTACGTACACGCTAGAAAAATGTCTCCTGCTAAAAGTGCTATGACCATAAAATATTCCGTTTTAAGTTACAGGTTGTATATACTTTAAATTTTGTATAATCACTTGGGTTGTTCGACGTTTTGCGAGATAGCTTTATAAGAATGCATGTGGATATATTAACTTTTAAACGTTATAACGCACCCAAATTTACAAAATTTTATAGGAGACAAGAAAACTGTTTACCTTCGCAAATATTAATTCTCAACTATTTTCATGAATTTTTAAAATTTAGTGGGTTATACTTTAAAGTTAGGGTATCAATATGCTTAAGAACGCGAAAGCCCATTTATTGTGTTAAACGTTATAAATATTATATTTACATTATGAGGGTAGTACACAATTTATCTAGCTACAATATTAAATATTGTTGGCAACTAGTATGCTAGTAGCTGCAAATATAGCTATTCATTTATTGCAAATTCTCTTCGAATGCAATTATTTGACTAAGAAAATTCTAAACTTGAGCGGGATAATATTCAAGTACAAAGCCGAATAACACATAATGTCCAAAAGTTGTCTTTAAAGCTTCTAACGGGACAGGGGCTGTCTTTTAAACATCTTACAGATCATTTTTGGATGCATATATATACTGTCTGAGAATAAATGTGCAGTCCACTCAGGTGGGAATTACATTGGTGGAAAAATACAAGTAGATTACGAAATGAATATTAAAAGTTATAAATTTATTTAAAAAATACAATTACTTTAATAACAAAGTGACACAAATTATACAAGTTTTATAGGCAGTCCTCGAACGACAATTGCAGCAGCTGTCATGAAGTGTGAACAAACATTTTTTGATTTGGCTACTGCTCTCAACATTTCTGGTTCTATTGTTTTTTGGTTTGAAGAATTCTTGGTTTCAATATCCAGGAATCCTGTGGACAATTTTAAGAGATGTCAATTACCAAACTGTACTGATATAGACATGTTATAGGTGTTGCCTAAAAAATACTTTTGGATGGGCGCTAGAAATTAAATACGCGAGGAAATTTTCGATATATTATTAGAATAATTATTACGGTTTGATTTATGGTTGCTATTTACAAGGTTTGTCTATTTAAGCAAAGAAGAAATATTGAATTATAAAACATGACGGTGTGAGGGTTTGTAGAAAAGAAAACCTCTAGTATACGTGTTATTTTATTTGGGAAAGGCTAGTCTGCACATCAATTTTGCCCGGTAACCGATCTAGCTTGTGCCCTAGGGTGCGTAACAACGAATCCGTACTTAAGGTAGATTGCGAATATTACACTGGTTCTAATACTGTAACAGTTAGAGCCATCAGCGACCATATGCGGTTCGATCTTTCGTGCGTGAAGCTAAACGAATTTTTGAGCACCGGTAAGTATCATGACTTTTGCTGTTTATAGGTATAGTCATTTTTCGCTGATGCTCTTAGGTGTTGTTAGAACCTTAGAAATACGCTCAACTAAACAGCTGGGACAGTGACACGAGCAATGCACTAGGTACCGTGCTGATTCTGCAATTCAAATGAAAGCTACGGACTGGGGGGTTATGAATATAATAGTCACAAGAATGAAGAAAAAATTCATTACGTAACAGACAGTCAAACATATATTGATCTATAATGACTATCCTAGTGACGTGAATCTGCGAATTTGATAGCGAATCATTTTAATATATGACTCGACGTTATTAATTCGCGGGAATCACGACGTAAAATATAACATTTTTTTTTTAATTTACCTTTTGACTTTCATACCGTGCACTAACAAAAAAACGCGAGCATATATTTTGCATTGCGGTGTAATATTTTAAAAAAAGACATACGAAATTCAACATTTGATTAGAAAATTATTACTACATCAAGACGTGTTCCATTTTTTTTACTTATATTTTTATTCAGTCGGTTGTAACACGTAAGTATATTCATTTTGTGTACTGGTACGACAAGACTGAAATGTGTATATAGGATATTCAAAAATTCGGGCATTTGGAGAGCATAATGGTGTTCCCAAGGCATCACAGATATTGAAAACAACTTCCGTTTCATTGAAACTTAGTTTTTAAATGAGAGCCGATTAAAGATAACACTTGAAATCGCGGTGCTGACGGAAATAATAGGCACCTCAAAACTCTCTGTTTTCTTCCCATTCTTTTTTTCACGGTGCCAAGGATTCAAAAGCAAGGGAAGAAAACTGAATACTCATAGGTGCCTATTCTTTTCGTCGCCGTCATGCTTCATTGCTTATCTTTAAAAACTAAGCATCTCAGAATTTAAAAAAAGTCACACTCTGTTTCTTTGTGAACTACGCAATCTCACTCATATTCTTGCAGACTTGCTCAAACTTTTTTTGGCTATTCGTTCGCATAGTTCAGGAATGAAGCGCCGTAAAGCGGCATGAATCCATGTAAACTAATGTTCTTTCTAAAAGAAAACTACATTTTCAAGTATTTAGAACGATTTAACCTGACGTAATTATTATCCAACCTATTACAACTTCGGGTGCCTGTCATTGGGAATTCTTTTTTAAATTCAGTGTGAACATAAAATAACAAACAACCACTTTGCGCTTTGTGGTTATTCGGGAACCGTTGGTCGCACACTATAGGTATATTTTTTTCTCTTACAAGGGAAGGTTCTCAGGTGTTCAGCGCCGGGAGGGTTAAAAATACTTGAAACAGGTTCTTTGGAGTACCCACAGCCAAGATTTACCCATCCAAACCCCTCGATCTTCGATATTTTTTAGTACCAGCCATGCAAAGTCTGGGATTTTTTTTATTTTTACGCCATTTTTCACACATTATACTGTTTAAACTTTTCATTTATCTACGTCGTAAATGCTTACGTAGTATTGAATTAAATGACCATCCTTTATATTTTTGAGGTCGTTCTACACGTTTCTGATGTTACTTTTTTATTATAACCTCATCTTCATGAAGAATTTATTGTCTTAATTGATCATCTTGTTAATTCTACGATAATATAGATAAATCTAATTTTAATAATATTTCTAACGAAAATCCTAAATGATTTTTTTCTTTTATATCTTTATTTATGTTTGGTACACAATAAGGAATAAAACTTATATGCATGCCTATTTTATACAATATAAATGTATGTCTCTCCTTTAGCATTACCCAGAGACAATGGCGAGGACGTAGAGAGATGTGTCTCCATTTTTTTTTCTTTTTTTTCATATTTTTTAAAAATTTTCTTGCAAAAAATATTTTTATTACTATTTAAAAGTTAATTAATTAAATAAAGTAAAAGATTATAAGCAGATAATATTTCCCCCTTGATGTTGTTTTTACAAAATTTCTATGTGACATCTATTTAATGCCAGCATATTTTTTCTAAAAAGTCTTTTAAGCATAAAGATTTATTACAGTGCGCACATTTTATGAATGCAGAGTTCTCAAATATAGCACAATCATCTAAAATTTGTTCCTTATTAAAACAAACTTCGTTTACATTCCGAAATTTGCCTGGATCAGCAACGTGATATCCACTTTTGTACCAAGCATATTGCAGCATTGGACGAAAAACATCTGCTGTGAGTTGATTATGAACAAGTGAATGAATCTTAAGAAAAAAGTTTCTATCATGTGTTTCTTGTTCTGTGGATTCTAACATCATTTGATTGTAAATTGCGCGAACAAATATTTTGTACTGTCTAAAAAAGTATACGTCTAGTGGCTGACAAAGTCTTGTTGTACCAGGGGGTATTGTTAGTACTTCAACACTATCTGCTTTTTCAGGTGACAATGAAGCCATCAAAAAATCTTCAGTTTGTCTCTAATTCAATACTACGTAAGCATTTACGACGTAGATAAATGAAAAGTTTAAACAGTATAATGTGTGAAAAATGGCGTAAAAATCAAAAAAATCCCAGACTTTGCATGGCTGGTACTAAAAAATATCGAAGATCGAGGGGTTAGGATGGGTAAATCTTGGCTGTGGGTACCCCAAAGAACCTGTTCCAAGTATTTTTAATCCTCCCGGCGCTGAACACTTGAGAACCTTCCCTTGTTAGATCTAGAATGAATTTTCCATTACAAATGTGTTCTAAAAGGTTTTGTAGCAACAATAGTTAACGTCAACAAGAAACTTAAAGTTCCAAACCGGAAAAACCGGCGTTTTCCCCCATTACACCCCGAAAAATTAGGATATCGCGATTAAACATTTACGAGATGATAGATAATAACTTATTGCAAAAAATGGGACCATGTACGATTTTGTTCAAAAATAGTTGGTGATGAATATGCTGTTTCATTTTTAAACATTCGTTTCTCCTTGATGAAGCATGATACAGACTTCCGCTTATGCCCATATCGTTAGGAATAAATTGAATATTTTAGCGACTATCGATAATTAGTAGCTTGACAATAAATTCAATGTTATTTCGTGAGATTAATGCGAAAGTCAACGGCTCAATGTCACTCGCCGGAGACTCGGCGGGCACGAGTTATACCCATTTTATACTAAACGTAGTAGGGCTCAACTCGCTGATTTGACCACGTTCATTTTATTTATTGCTGCGAGATAAGTTTTATACTCTAAAGAATTAGGGAGTACTATTTTCCTCTTACATTTTCACTATTTTTCGCATAAAAAATATATTAACATTACGTAATTTACGGATCACGTACAAATCGATATTAGAGATATGAAAAAATGTTTTCTCAAAAGTATACGTATATATATAGGATAATAATTATGTCAGCTTGACAATCCAGGAATAAATAACTGATTATATACGTAAATAAAATCATGAAAACTGAAACATATTCCATATGATTGACAGTTCATTCTTATCACATCGTACAATCACAAATACAGTAACACATCTCTATTAGTCCAAGTCCGGATTTCAAAACCTCTCTATTAGTCCAAAAAGGGGCTGGTCCCAAATCATGCCCATCAACCCTCAGGAATGCAGCCTGCGAGAAAGGGGCTCTAACGAATAAACGTTCTACTGAGAATTTTTGACCTTTGTATGTATTCGAATGTCATGACTAATAATTAACATGGACACCGCTGCGAACAAAACGGGAAGCTGATCTTGGTTTATAACAGAGGTTGGTCGATTAGAGAGGGGATACGCAAAGAGGTTTACTGTATTTCTTTTTCAACGCATAACATTCAATTAAATGCAGTATGCATTATTATTTTAAATATACAGAAATTAATTAAGTTGGAATTACTCGCCAGTCAAATTCGGTTAAAATTTACCGTGCGACAAGAGATAAAGTTAGCGCGTTCAACTGGTCGCAAAGGTCGTCCTTATGGTCTATGGCGCTCTATGGTCATGTTCATAAATCTACAATTTAAAGTTGACGAGGACTTTTCTGTTCAGCCTTCTTTAAAGTTTAACATAATGCCATATAGTGTATTAGCTTTGGGATATTCTACTGTATATTTTAAGTAACCTTAGTATGAAACGTATAAACCATATAACAGGAAAGGGGAATTATTTATATGAAACAAATTGACTGAAAATGTCAGGTCTGTATTATTTCTATAGTAATATTAATTAATTAAAATGAAAATTACAATTATAAAATATTATTTCGTTGAAAATATTGTATATATTTTCGTTTAATTTAAAGAACGTTAATTATGAAAAATACTTACCAAAAGTGCCACTGCGCCACAAATCAGGATCAATATCACTCCATGGCCGCTCTTGTGTGGATGGAATCCAGTTACTCAAGAAACTAGCAGTCATCTTATCAATATCAGCGTCTGTTACTTCCCACAGCATGCCCAAGACGCAGGGACTAAAAAATAAAACAAAGCGTATATGACTTACCCTGTGGTACGAGTACATGAACCATGTAGTCGTCAACATAAAAAAAATTATTTTTACGGAGGCGAAGCTTTTGAATAATAAGTTTTGCAAATATTATTGTTCCATTTAAATCCGTAACTTGATTTCTTCCGTAAATTTTAGTCAAATCGGTTTAACGATTTGTCTGTAATCTTGTACACAGCTATGTACACAAATATCCGTTTATTGCGATGGGAATTATATTTTAAATATCCTGATACGTTCTTCATAAAAATTTCTTTAGTGATATCATTATCAAAAAAAGTGCATGATTTCTGTTTTAACAAACATCGTTCTGTACCGGTGAAAATTCGTTACATCTCACAACCATATAAGTTTTGATAATATATTGGGTTGGCGAATAAGTTCGTAGCGTAAACGCGTACGCGTTACACGTTCGAAACGCTACAAACTTATTCCCCAACCTAATAGTTGTATAAGTATATATTTAATTTAGTAAACAATCTACATAAATAACTGTACATCTTGTATATGAGATTACCTGCAGGCTATCAAATATTGATTAGATACACCATAAGGTGGAAATCGTCCGCCAACACGTTGTAATTTTACACTTCCGCAACCAAACAATAGAACGGTTGCTTTGACCCGCAGCTTTTCAATTCGTTCGCCCGCCAAATATTGAATTCCACTTCCATGCCCATTGTACCTGAAAGAAAAAAAAGTTATTACATGTAAAGTGTCGCAGAAGGAAAATATTTATATACTAAAAATATAGAATTTTTATTGCATAGTGCTTGCAAAAAGTTGTACTACTTATACTTTATTTGGTCCAAGATTTAAATTGAATATTGCTTTGGATCAAACTTAAATTCATTTGTAAATCTCTTTAAGTTGCCATGACTGAGTGAATATTTAATTACATGAAATGATTAAATACAAAATTTCTTATATTCCACGCCTGTCCAAATGCGTAAATCGTATCACGAATGTTCTGTTAAACAAGATTTTTTTTGTCGACAAAGGTTGTCAAAAAAATACTTTTTATGAATATTCTTCTGTTTTAATAAACGAAGGCTAACTTAATTTTTTTTTAAAGAAATTTACCACAAATGCTACAAATTATAACCTATTATAGCTCAAAGTGAAGGGGTAAACAATCGTATGCTTACTTTAATGCTAAACATATTATGTGATAGAGTGTACACTTGCAATAGTGATAGAATTTACATTAAAATGATGCCTAAGTTGAATATTAATGAATATTAATAATTGTTTTCTACGACATTTTCCATTCAGAGTTTAACATTAATTGGTTAATAAATATTCACGTCTTAACAAATATGATGTTATTAAACTGAATAAAATGAATTACACAGTAAATTTCATACATTAAAATATCATGATTGACCAATGCGTTTTCAAATGTTTCTTCATCGGGTTTTTCGCCATATAATCCTTTCCATCCAGGCAGCCAATAGTCAATAAATAGTTTCATTCGTTGTTCCATTTTTGGCAAGTTATTCGAAGGATTTACGATAAAACTACCAACGTCGTTATTACTTTTAATAATTTTGCATCCTTTTATGATAGACGATTCATGTTCCTTAAATAAAGCATAGGATATATGGAAAGACGGAAACCGAGTTACCGGATGATCTTTCAATATATCCATAGATTCAAATGAAATATGATCCATATTCTGGAACAAAAAAATTATTTTTTAGCCACAGATTTGTTTACATGCAAAATGAATACCTAGCTACATTTCACGTTCTTTTAGGAATCGCTAATCTCCATGATCAGAAGCAGTGCCTCTTTAATGTTATTCTTGGCTATTAAGGGGAATTTATCGTTCTTTGATGCGTGCGCTTGTGTGTGTGTGTGTATGCGTGCACGCGTGAATATGACCAGAAACAAAGTGTACCGGCATTTTGTCGTAACGAAAGTTATTAACAAAATAAATCGTGAAGTGGGAGAAGAGACGAATAAAATCCCCTCCTCCTGAAAACAACACTGTAGCTGCTGAGATCTGTTTCGTTGAGACAATTGAAGATATCGAGCGATCGGTCAAAGCCGATCTATCCGCGCATGGAGACTACATAAGGAGTACGAACTCGAATGGGAAAATTGACAGAACATGCTACTAATATCGTTCACATTACGTTATCTTTCTGTACCACTAGCGTCGCTAGTTTCGCTTTTGTACTGACGTGAATATAGCATAATAAATACATGTGAAGTAAGCAGGCAAATATTTACAAGTAATTTCCATTTGCAAATACACACGCTTATAACCTAAACATCTTAATAAATATATTTAATAGATGTAAATAGTTCATTTAAATAAAATCTATATTAAAAAATGAAAACTTTATTTAAAAGCTTCGATGATTCCTAATGATAATTTTTATTGAAAGTATTTTTGAATTTCAATTTTCCATTTTGATTAATCAATTAATTAATAATAGATTAATAATAATTACATTTAAAGAATTGAATTTAATATAATAATTTTTTTATTACTTATTTAATTTCATTTGTTGTTTTAATTTAGCTTTGAAAATTTTTATTATTTGTTTATTTAAGTTAAAGTAAGCTAAATTATTTATTTTATAATTTTCGAAGTACGTCAAAATATAATCTTCAGTTTAAATTCTCGCCTTATACCACTCCACTTTTTCGGTGCATACAGAACACTAGTGCCCTCTTATTTTGGGAAGCTGTTTGTATACATGGAGTTCTTGCTCCTTCCGTAGTCTCCATCTATCCGCGAATCTAATTGGATTAGAGGATATATTATGGCGAGCCTCTCAAGAAGGTTCCCAGTTTTGGGAGTGCACAGTTAGCTTAGTCAAGAGATAGACATATAGTAAAATCTTATTATTAGTCCTAGTTTGAATTTCAGGATCTATGTATTAGTCCAAAGAGGGGCAGAGCGCAGGCCATACCGATCAGCCAATCAACGAATATACCTTGGGAACGTAGTACGAAAGAAATAGACAACGATTAATGTAAAGTCAACATCTGCTACAATACAGTTAGAAGAGAGCACTTTCTCTAACACATTATAAAGTAAACATTTCTATTGATTCATAATAAAAATAGTCGAATAATAAGAACTAATCAATAATAATATTCAAACAGTCACAAAAACTTACCTCATCAACAATCAGTATTAGCGTTTTTCTTAAAGCAGATTTCAAAAGATGTACACTACCCAACTTTCCGTAAATGGATAATATAATATTTTCAGCAAGTTTACTATTATTTGGTAAGACGTATTGTACAGCCGTAGCAATTTCTGCTTTAGACAAGTAACAGGAAGCTGTGGCAATTTTTTTTAAGAGCCATCGTGATCGATCCGGCATGACTTGCCTGTAACATAAGTAAAACATTAAGTGAGTCTTTAATTAGGGACTATGAAAATAATATTAAAAAACTAATTCATCAAACATATGCTAAAGCAGTACTCAGGTATTCGGTACTTCCATTGATAGATTACTTTTATTTCCGCAAACAATATATCTTCTATTACACTGTTTGGTATCACTACAAATAAAATATCATGTATGTATCTTACGTAGATGTATCGTCGCTTATCAGTTTGTCAATCATATCTTCCAAATCTTGCACCAAGTCCAAATTTTCTATAGGATCTGCCATAAATAATATTCTCCATTCGCGTAACCATGTGTTCTCCAATTCTGTTATTGCTGCCTGTAGAATACCGCTCAATTCCATTTAATATATGCATTTTGTAACTTCTATATTTTCTAACAATAAACATGTTCCATTTTATGCTGCAAACTAATTCCTTTAATGTTTTCAACATATGTCAACCAATGTTTCACTCGCACGATTAATACACCTCGTAGACTTATATTAAAATAAAGAAAATTATTATCTCAACGTTCAATAAATGTTTCTGAAATCTACTAAGTACTCTATGAGTTCAGTCTAAATAAAACAAGTATATCTAAAATCCTGAAATGATTTAGAGTATGCGAATCGTGACGTTTTAAAATACATATTTGTAAGAATTTATTGTTACTGCATTTACTGATATCTTTTAATATAACATTGAACTCGTTCACACTTATTTTTCATAAAAAATTTACGATTATTCTAAAGATGTTAAAAACATTATAAATCGACAGAGAGTTACCTTCATTTTCTTATTTTGTCGTTCCCGCATTTTCCAATATGATTTATTATTAGTGTAAGCCGCTTCCAAATCAAATTTATTATTTGATAACACATCTTCTATTTCACTAATAATATCATACATTGTACTCGTATTAGACTTTGGTATTGTTACACAAAATGGCCCGATTGCTTTTTCTCCCGTAGGCATAACAATAATGTGTATTGGATAAGTTGACGATGGTCCTGCGCTAGAATATTTAGAAATTCCGGGATGCTCATACTGAATTGTAATTTGGATCATATACCATTCTGCAAAAAAAAAAGGCTGCAAAGTAGAACCTTGCAAGTTGCTTCCTCATTATTTTACTTGGTTTTTTTCTATCACAATGATGCAAAGTAGAATCTTACACTTTGCTTTTTGATTCTTTTCCTTCGTTCACAAAGCCTCCACTATGAGGAAGTTCTTTGACTTATTTTGGCTATTTATATACATACATACAGTTAAAAATGAGGTAAAAGAAAAAACAATAACGATCATTTTTTGAAAATTTTAAAACCACGTAAAATCTGAACCGCTTTAGCGATCTTGTCGAAATTCAATACCAAACAACATTGAACGTATCTTCAGTTATGAAGAACTATTTAGCTAAATCGTCGAACCTTTATGAAAGTTAGAGCGACCACGCCCTTTTTTCAAAAAATTTTAAATGACATAAAATCTGAATGACTTCATATATTTCATTAAAAATCGCAACATTTAAAGAGGGATATCTACTTTACTTGCAATGCCAAATTTCAGGTTGATCGTTCTAACGGTTACTGAGTAAGAGACAATTGAATTTTCGAAGCCCTGCACACACACGCGCGCGGGCGCACACGCACGCACGGATATTTTTTCTGAACTACTTTTCTTGACGTTTTAGACCATGTTAAGTATTCTAACATGAAAATCTCGAAAAAAAAATTTTGGATGAAAACAGTTTCCTCTATGAGGAAGCAATAAAATAAAAACGAATGTAATACTAGATAAAAAATAAATATTATTAAGATACATTTTAACTATAAACAAAATTTGAAACCATACAATGTTTAAAGAGATGCATAAGTAGTTCCCAAAATGATATCCATTTTCTCCCTCTCAATTTTAAGATTTAATAATCTTACGATGATGATCTAAACGATGATGTCCCCTCCTCCCTCCCCCAATAAACGGCAAACCAAACTGCACAATCTGGATATTCATGTTATTTTCATGTCTAATGCGTTAACTGAAGCCGGTGCTGCTACCATGAAAATCAAATAGAGTATCGAGCTTTTGTTGATTTGTTAGTTCCGAGTAACCCTATATATTCAGGGGCCAATATTTTTTCTTCGTTGATTTGGAATATAACACATGATTGCGACCCAGTTAGTATGTAAAGACGTTATTTTTTTTAAGCATCACAAACACATCAATTCCTTACGCAAAACGGAGCAAAGCATCAACTCTGATCAATTTCAATTAGTAGCAACTTCTGTGAAAAGACATTGTATTTGAAAATTTCAACTTTGAATTTGAATTCAGACATCCCAAAAACTATCGAGAATCACTTTTCATGCTAATTGAACAATTTTTCAAAATTTCGGCTGCGATATTGGATTCAGCAATTTGAATTTTAACCCTGGCCACCCAGGCTTACTTCTCAAATATACAAAGTATAGACTCTGAGATCCGATGGACTCCAGCTTGAATCACTCAATAGGCAGCAGTGAGTCAACTGCAATGTAAATGTAGTATTTATTGGCAGCTGCGCGGTTATTGAACGATGAATGCTAACTCTAACACTAATTATTACTTGTAATTGCTCGAACAATGATTCAGAACGAGAAGGAAATAATGCTGCTTTTGTGCTTCTTAATCCTCTAGATTTTTGAGATACAAAATTATGAAATCGATCATGAAAGTCATTCTGTCAAAGAAGGAAAACATACCAAAACATTTACAGAAGGAACAAGCAAGGTAGACCGAAACAGAACTATCGCGTCTACTTTAGTATGCCTACTCTACGACGGGACTTAAATTTCTCAATTGAAAAAATTCTTAATATCGAAATCCCGCCAGAGCAAATAATCAGTAAAATCAAGGCACTGCTATGATTATCCCCGCTTGACCCTTTGAAGCATGGTGGTAACCCACGGTACCACCTCGATTTCTATAAATTTTGATCATTTTGTTTCTAGTTAACGCATTTAGATCGGTTTTTTTTTTTCATTTTTCAGGCACTTTAGCAATAAAAGAATGTAAAAAAAGTTGAATAATCATAAATCTTTGTCGTTTAAATATTATAAATAAATAAATATGAGAAAACAGCGAATTTTTCGGAAAAATTCATTAATGACAAAATTTTCTAAGATTATTTCTTAAAATTTTGTACAAAAGGCTTTTTTATGGTTGTTGATTGGGAATCCGCGGTCAAATTCCCCAAATTCAAGATGACGGACAAAAAACAAAAAATTTCTGGATTTGGATAAAATTTGGTACTACGAGGTCTTTAGGTTCGCTGATTACAAATCTAAACTAAATTTTTAGGTCCACATTTTTAGGTCTGGGTAGTACCAAGAATGAGAGAATTTTCAAATGATCAAATTTCAATTTTACATCCGTAATCAGTGACCCCGAAAACCACCCAAATTTATATTTTCACCAACATTATCGCGGTTTTTCATTTCGGCGGCTGCCATCTTTAATCCGCCATTTTAAATTTTAAGTTTGATAAAGGATTCATAAACGGCGACCCCAAAAACCCCCGAATATACATTTTCACCAATGTTATCGCGGTTTTTCATTTTGGCGGCCGCCATCTTGAATGTTGAAAATCTGATAATGCATCGGTATTCAGCGACCCCAAAAACCCATGTATACCAAATTTCATAAAAATCCGATCATTAAAAACATGTATACTTTAAAGGGTTTAGGTAGGTACTGTGGTGCGTGCTAGTCAAATGAGAGTTAAATTTTGCAATGAATTTTATAAAGTTAAATGTAGTAATTAATAGCAGTGGAGGACGATTTGTATTACAGCACGTGGCCTTAACCTAGAGAAACATTAAAAACAATGTATTTGCTAAAGCATTAAATGATCAATGGTAACTTCCATAGAGATACATCTTCGTTGAGTTTTTTCAAATAGATTTTTCAAAGAATAAACCGTAATTTTATATCGATATTAATGCGCTGTAGCTCATCTTGTTTCTTGAAAGTTGCTCTACGAATTCACCAAATATAATAGATTTTTTGTAATGTTAAGCGTTTAAAAATTACAACCTGTTGTTCAACCGATGAATAGAAAACTTTATAAACATAGTGCGGTAATTATTAACGGTCGATACTACAAAAATGTTACATGGTGAATTCGTAGAGCAGCTTTTGAGAAAGAGAATTAATTATAGCGCAATAAAAGTGGTACAAAATTATGGTTTATTCTTTAAAAAAACTCAAGAAATTGTATCTCTATGAAATTGACCATTTATCACTTAATGCTTTAGAAAATACATTGCTATTAATGTTTCTATAGGTTAAGGACCTGTACGGCAATACAAATCATCCTCCACTACTGTTAATTAATATACATTTAACTTTGTAAAATTCATTGTACAAATTTAACCCTCAGTTGACTTATGTGCAGCACAGTGACTACCTTAAAAGACAGAAAGCCGATCTGCACATTCTGTTTGTGAAGAGTACATACAAAAATGTCCTTAGTGTGCCTCAGATAATCAGCAAGCATCTTTTTTTATGTAACATAAGATATTAATTTGCATAAAATCTATTTCTGTACAATTTTTAAAAATATTTTGTAATAGAAATATTGAGACATTGAAAAATGGAGATTTATGCGCAATTTCTTTGATTTTGACCACATTTCTACCTTAACACGTTGACTGCCATGGGAGTCACCGGTGACCGGCGACGCAGCAAATAATAAAAGTACATAATTAGAGTAAATATGGATACTGATACATTTTTCAATAATACCATTGTTACTATAATGTTTTGAAGAAATTAATGCAATATAGAACATACAAAAATAATTGTATAACTCACTTTATTTTCTGCAAATAATATTTCAACATAATATGCATCGCATAATGAAAAATTCACGTTGGCGCCTTCGGTAAAGCATGAAAAATGCGCTTAGCAGTCAACGTGTTAATTGTTGTCTTAAAATGTATTTAAGTGAAATAAAATATACGTCATTCTCTTCTTTATTGCCTGAGAAAGAAATTGATGTGCTATAAAGCATGTATATTGTAATTTTAAGAGAATGGAGTGACCATTTTTCCTACAATTTCGTCAGTTTCATATAATTAAATAACAATACTTTTTCTATTGAACAGAGCTCTTTATCTATATTCTGTGGTGTCCTCTCTAACACCATTTTTCACATTTGTATTTTTATTAAGTACAAAAAATGTTTTTTTGTTATGATATTGATATGCTATAAAATATATGTAGCGCAATTAGAAACGAGAGGAGATGGAAAGAAAAGCATGGGATAACAAGTTATCACTATGTATGTATGTACCATTAATCGGGATCCAAGGTAATGTATGTATGTACATACCACTTTAGGGTTAGTGACCACTGATCGATCTTGGTTATAAATAATATTCCAAACATTGGTTTTTTTATATTAACAAATTTTACAAACATTGAATCTGTGAATGGCCAACAAAGTAAATGGTGTACATCATTACTCTAAATATTTCTGTACATCAATTTTATAGTATTGCTTGTATATTTTCATAATCAATTTCAAATATTCCCACTACAAAAATATCAGACAAACCTTCAATCAATCGTATTTAATGCAGTAACCAGAATGTATTATATTCAACAGGTCCCATACTGTTAGTGCATTTAGAATCAGGTTCCTAACTATATATCTAATATAAAAGAATAGAAGAGGTATAAATTTATGAAAAGAGAATAGTCAGTAGATTGAGTTTCATTCTTTTACATTATCATTCGTATACCTATCATAAATGTTTCAGTCTGAGAATTATTCAATACAGGATAAATCCTAATACCGTGTAAAATACAATGTACAATACATTCTAGTCTTTCCATTTTTATTAGATATTAGTTGAGCTGTTGTTGATTATCAAATGAATGTCCATAGGAAATGAAATACAAGACACAAATCAATATAAAACTCAAGTCCTAACATATTTAACAATTAAGTATCTAGAAATATATATGAATATTAATATTAAACACCTGGTACAATTTTTGAAAGATTATTGACTAATAAACTTTATGATCTGAATCATATTTTATGATCAAACTTATAAAAATGTCTCAATTTAATGACTACAAATATGTCAATATGTGCTAAGATTAGTTAAGAAACTACTGTTAAACTTCATTAAAGAATTAATATATTAGTATTCCTAAACAAAAAACATACTCTATATAATATCCATATTTTTCATTATGCCTTTTTCATAATCAATAATAAAATATATTCTCTTGACAATAAAAATTAAATTTTTAAGATGTAAAACAATACATAAAGTACTCTCTGTATGATAGGAAAAATATTATAACAATAATGCATAATATTAAATTTATGTTCATTGTACAATTGCCTATAAAACTGGTGTCACCTGGTTACCTTTTCTAAAATACGGATTATAAGAACAAAATACAATTACCTTGGGGCATTTCATTAAGCCTTTTTGTTAATATGTTGCAGTTTTTTGTACCATCATTCAATCTTATATAGGCTGGATTAAGACCATAAAATTGATTCTCTTCAAGAAAAGACCTACGAATTTCAGTTTTAAGAAATCTGTGTTGAGTTTGTTGACGAAGTATGACTGCGTGAGATTCTATAAGATGATAAACTGCATCATTTTGTCTGCCTGCCTATATTACAGAAAATGAAATATAAGAAGTTATGATATGAAATATTAGTTTAAATTACCATTGTTAAAATTTATTAGAAAAAATTAGATAATTAGAATAGAATGTATTGCATGTAATTTATAAGAATTCTAAAAATATTATATCTTCATCAAATATAATAAAAATAAATTTCATAATATTCTCTGCACAGGGAATGTGAGTACAAACAGTAAAAAAGTTTCATTAAAATAACACATTTTAAAGCAAACTTTGAATTTCAAACATTTTGAAATTTCAGAAAGATATGGTAAGTTCTTGAATTATATTTGGCGTTTGCAATATTTTAATATTTTGTAAAAATGTTAGTTAAGTACAAGTAATAGTGTTATTAAAATTCCACACAGTAAACAATACCTGTAAATAACAGATCGCCAGCATTTTATTCAGATTTGCATATTCAACAGCAGGACAGTTAACATTCCACTGTAATATAAGATGTTCTAAATCTTTCTTTAGTTTATCTATTCTGTCTTCTTTCAGAAGATCCTCTTTTGACTTGTTTTCTTGTAAATAGTATTGCTGACACTCACGAAACATTGTATCAATGTCATCATTAATATTCCACATTTTTACAAAGTATATTATTTTCTAGTAAAATATTTTTTTTTTTTTTTTTCGAATTAACCGTAGGGTAGTAACTACAGAGATCAGTAGGGAGATTGCCAATGAACAGAGATGAGTGGGGAGATGTACAACGCTCCGGTTTTAAGCGATACCAAAAGCATGGTGCTAAATCGTAGCGGCGAGTCCGGGAGTAGGATTTCGTGATCATCGCCTCTGTCGATGTTATAGATTTCGCGTAGCCTTTTTTTGGAAAATATTTTTTTTTTTTTTTTTTTTCGAATTAACCGTAGGGTAGTAACTACAGAGATCAGTAGGGAGATTGCCAATGAACAGAGATGAGTGGGGAGATGTACAACGCTCCGGTTTTAAGCGATACCAAAAGCATGGTGCTAAATCGTAGCGGCGAGTCCGGGAGTAGGATTTCGTGATCATCGCCTCTGTCGATGTTATAGATTTCGCGTAGCCGCGCGGGTCATGATCATCGTTCCAGCCGGTATTGCAGTCAGCGAAAATGAATGGATTGCTCGGTGGTGGGGAAAAAGTTGCCGCCCCTCACAAACCGTTCTTGACAAACAGGCGGAACAGCAAGGTCTTCCGTCCAACCGAACCCTAAACGTTTGTATGGACGTAATGCGCAAACAAATGTGTATATCCAAATAAATTTCAAAGTTATAAAAAATGCATAGAAATATTGGTTTTCACTCTTTACCTCTTATCATGCCGAAAATGAACATAAAAAAATGAATGGCGAAATTCGTTTTTTTTTTTATTTTACTACAAAAATTGTTCAAGATTCCTCTCTTTTAATCTTTCTACGTTGCCCAAACTTTATTTTAAGTATATATATATTTTTTTAAATTTTATCTGTGACAGAATCGACTAATATTTTAAATGCCCGCTCGTGCCACGCGACCGGCGACTCGAGCGATTGCGGATCCTCTCTCGCTGAGGGGTCTGCTATTGCTGTTACTGCTGCCGCTGGTTCTTATAATCTTATAAATACTTTTTTATTTGCAATCTTCAGTTCCAGTGCCCAGTGTAAACTCAATAAGATTTACTATGAGAAAATAATTAGCTGACTTCGTTACCTGGAATCAATAATCTTGAGAAGTAAATATGGAAATGAGCATTATCTCTGTCTGTAATTGATCGTCCACGTGGAGAAGAGTGGCGCGAAAGTTCTTAACTGGAGTGCATCTTTATATTATTCTGCTTATATGTAAAGTAAGCGAAACGA